GTTCAAAAACGCTGATTCATTCATTCAAAGAGAGACATAATGAAACACGCTGTTGAGATCATTTTAACTTTGAGCGCCACTTTAGAAGGCTCAGCTGACCAGCTATGCTTCGATGCTAAGACAGAGATCTCGCTTTCCTTGGACATAACAATCTATTTTCACAAATATATATGACTCGGCCTGGAGGACAGACGCAAGTAATCGCACGCGCTCAGTCGATCTCTCTCTCATTCACTGTCTGTTTAGGCTTGTTAAGTGCAAATCTACGGAGCCTCTGTACAAATCAGCATGGTACACATTATGTTATCATTACTAACTTGTTTAATATTCAGTCTACATGCATGAAGTGTAAAAGGGCATAACCTTACGAAAAAAGAAAACATGCAAAAATCGCGGTTGCTGCGGTTCTTGCATTCCTCTGCGGTTTGCTCTTCAACAGCGCGGTATTGCAGTTATCGCGACAGCCCTAATACCATTGTTTGATGCAACTGCATGCCGCATTTTTATATGAAAATAAACAAGCTGAAAACACTCTAACTGCAAAACTTTGTGCTTTTCTATAGTATTAAGCCTCAAATGTCAACTATACATCCGATTGGTTTCTTCTTTAAATAATGAAAAAGTAAAAATATGAATGGTATTATAATGTTATACTAAAACTAAAATAAAAATAATGGGAAAACCCTTAAGATAACATGTAGAGCGCAAAAAAAAAAAAACGCATCTTAAGCACACAGAATAACATATGTGGACTTTGAACGATTAACTGCCGCTTTGAACGATTACGTAATTGTGGCATCCATAATTGTAATTGCGATTAGAAATTTGATTAATTGTGCAGCCCTAATAGCAAATTAGACAAGGCTGTCATTAGATGGAAAATGACACAATTGTTGGTCATTGTGATAATCCCAAAATGGTCAAATGATATCAGTCCATCACTATTAAAGTCACCATGAAATCAAAATTGACAATGTTGGAATACTGCAGTGTTTACATGATGAATTTATACGTGCACATTATTATTTTTTTAAACCCTCATAATATTTAATCAAAAACATTAACTTCCAAATGTATTAAACCACAACAATCCATCAATCCAATCAATTTCTGATGGACAAAATCAAGTCTGGCCCTACATTTTTTCCCCTCATTTGACAAGAGGGATATACATCACAATAAGGAAGAAAAGACAACCACAACACCCGTTTCATGCCGACTTCAAGGATACACTTTGTAGTCCTCAGTTGGATATAGCAGTCCCAGATACAGCTCCCTCTGGTCGGCCAAGGCTTTGCCCACACCAGAGATCTTCTCCTCCACCACGTCCAGAGAAGTGTGCACTGTGTAGTGGAACTTGAGTTCCCCCTGTGTAGGAACGCTCCGAATGTACAGTGGATAGTTCTGCAGAGATCAACGTAATGCTAGGGGCAAGTTTGCTATTACAGGAAACACAATTTCAGCTTGTAATTTTATTACAACTTAACGTGCATAAATGTAGAAATAAACATGAACTAGACTAAAATAATCTGTTCATTGCAATAGAGTTGATCAATGCATAAATCATGTTAATGCTACCTTAGACCATGATTTCCAAATGGCAATGTTCAATCATTTACAGAAAATGTCTAATTTTTAAAGAATCCATAAGATGTTAAAAAGAAATTTCATCTTACACGTAATAAGTTGTGTGTAAAAATGTAATGCATTTACTAAAAAAAAAAAAAATAATTCTACTAGGTAAGGAAGTATTAATTTTAATGGATGTTAAATGACAGAACCAATATTATCTGAATCAGCAGGTTATCATTTAATTTTAATTTATACAAGGGCTTTCTAAAATACTTCATCCTGATTAGCCAATCACAGCATTTCGCAGTCAAACCTTTTTGAATGATGACTAATGTCCAGAGCAACACTGGACCAATGATTGCTCATCCAGGAAGTCTGTTTTTTACACAGCTGTGCTTGTGATTAGCAGTCAATACAAGAAAGCTAATAAAATAAACTCTACCATTATTACTGTCTACATTTATTTAAGTAGCTGTATAATAAGCAGGATGAGGTACCATCAGCTAGGCATCATCACAATATTTTTATTTTTCATCTTCAATATCAGAAATCTAATAGCTGACCAGATGAACGCATAAAGACTGGGCTCAAAGATTGCACAAAATAAGACTTAACTAATACATTGTCGGTTACGTTTTGAGTGGTTTTGTGTAGTTATGTATTTCTGTAATTTTAATTAATGTGAAGGTTTATTATATGTGGGGGGTGTCTCAATTATTTCGAATAAGTAAATTGATTAACTGTATGATGTCGTCCCCACATACTGTCGCAATTCATCCGGTACCGGTAGTGTGGTAGATTGCAACAGCACTCTTTACACACTAATTTACACAGTTTCGAAGACATTGTATAATAACGCAAATATGGGAATGCAAAAACACTGACACAAAAACAAACACTCCCCGCTCTCCCATGACACAAGCATCGTTCAAAACAATGTAGGTTTGCAAAACAAAAAAGTAAAACATGGTATATCTCATAGCATACCATATTGCATATACTGTACTTGTGCCATTTCAATGTATTTATATTAAACTGTAAAGACCATGCAAGTAAATATATTCGCACGCATATGAATGTTGCTACACAGTCCTGAACGCGACACAAATTAGAAACTCATCAATCCATCAAAATCTGATGGATCTCAGATGCGTTCAACCATTACCAAGAAATCATTTGCTGTATCACAAAAGCATTACATGTTTTCACTTACCTCCTTCGCAATGACTGCTATACACACCGCCATGTTGACGCTACAAACACCGGTCACGTGACACGCAAAGTCACATGATTCATAGTTTCGCGGCGCTTGACTGTATGCAATACTTAATACGATTTTACACTTTTTTGTGTTTATATAATACAATTGTACGAGCAATACATGTCTGTGCAACGCATATCTTTGGTGTGTGAAATACATCTGTGTTGGATGTACTTTGTTATAGTTGATTTTGTATATTGTGTATAAATAGCATATTCTCTCTTTATTTTTGTATTTATTACAATGTATGTTGCAAAATGCAGTGCTGACAACTATATCCCAAAGAGATGATATTACTAATTTATACTGTTTTACCTGTTTTTAAACCAAAAATACAATTCACACTAAGCCGCCATGTTGACGCTACAAACACACCGGTCACGTGACGCACAGTCACACATGATTCATAGTTTCGCGGCGCTTGACTGTATGCAATACGTAATACGATTTTACACTTTTTTGTGTTTATATAATACAATTGTACGAGCAATACATGTCTGTGCAACGCATATCTTTGGTGTGTGAAATACATCTGTGTTGGATGTACTTTGTTATAGTTGATTTTGTATATTGTGTATAAATAGCATATTCTCTCTTTATTTTTGTATTTATTACAATGTATGTTGCAAAATGCAGTGCTGACAACTATATCCCAAAGAGATGATATTACTAATTTATACTGTTTTACCTGTTTTTAAACCAAAAATACAATTCACACTAAGCAATGTCACATGCTTTA